TTTAGGCAGTAGTGAAGAAAAACAAACAAATTAATAAATGGTATTGTAATATTAAGTCATTAAATGAATAAGAGTATACCTTGTAAAAAAAAAAGCTTTGTCTTAATAAAAGTTATGGACTGAAAAGTTGATATTGGATTTGCAAGCAACTGTGTGTAGAGCTGTTTTAATAAATACAGCCGTTTTTCCTTGCAATCAGTACTGTACTGTACGTGCTCTGCTTTGTAGTTTGCACATTCTTGGCCGGTGATCTACACCAAGGCAAGTAAATAGAACTCATTGTCGAGTGAGTGGTTCCCGCCATACTTGTATATGTATATATAGATATCATTTGTTTATAGCCAATGTATTCACATTACAAACTAAAAACAATACCAGAATTTAGAGTGAAAAACAATGTTCCTCTTAAAAAATTAATGCAGTGAGTTTCAGAGATAAAAGTTGTAGATACGTACTAGCCAATGATAAATAGGTACTGCCTAGAGCTCATCCATTATAAGAGGTCCTGTTGAAGGGAGCAGCATGATGACTTAATAAATAACAACATTGCCTGTAATAACTTAATAGGAATTTGTTATCTCTTTTTTATGAGTTGGACATTAGTACTTGGAATGTGGAGCTTTGAAACCTAAACTAGCACTGAGGAATAGTCAGGAGAAAATGTGAAATAAGATACTGAAGTCACAAAGCATAGAACATCCAATACAGAGGACTACACAAAGGCAGGAACAATTTAAAAAATAATATATTTTACATATAGAGTGCCAACATATTCACAGTGCGGTATTGTGGTTAACAAAAGCATATAGACATACCTAATAAAATCTTGGATCCAGATGGGTTATCCTGATTAGGTATTCCTGTCCCATTGACCTGGGTTCTTTTCTCTGGAGTTCAGCTGCACCAAATAAAGGCTACCAGTAAAGTTAATCTTTCAATGTGTGTACATCTGGGCAAGTCTATTTCTGCCTTTGTAACTACCTTCCAACTGTCCTCTAATGTTGGGAACCTCTTTAAGTACAGTTGCAAAGATGTCTATCAAGCCAGAGTGAGTTCCTCCAGGATGCCACCTTTTTTCAGCAAATATGTGTCCCCAGTGACCTGAATTGCATAGTATTCTATACTACTTCAGTCTCAGGTACTCTCTGTCTGATTTCATCCTTTCCAATGTTGCGTTGTAGGTATGGACGAATATTTAGACAAATACTAGTTTTAGACACAAAGAAACAAAAATCGATGACGACCTGCTTGTAATCTTGTACAGTCTGCATGTAATTACATAATTATGAAAGGTAAAATTTGCAGGATGAGGAAACAAACAATGTATGAAATTTAGGCGAGATTAGGAGCAGACACTCTCTAGTGGAAAATGAATATTGTCAGCATACAGCACGATTTTACACTTGTAATCTGTTGAAGGCAAAATGGTCTGTTTTAACTTGTGCTCAGACAAAGAGATGGGTTTTTATTTAAGTTTTTTGTTTTACAAAGTAATAAAAAAACAACTCAACATGCATTTATGTATGTTACAGCGCAACAAGTAAAAATGAATAACAATTGTAAATAATAATTGATGTCGTGCTTTATAAATATATATGAGGTAGAACTAGAGGCAAATGCACTAAATAATCTAAAGGACAAAGAATAGGAGTGAAAAAGTATTGTTCCCCTTTGTGTGGCATTATAGGAAAATAAGGGTTGAACTTGGTGGACTAGGTTTAACCTATATTACAATGCAACTACTATGTAAAGAAAGTTTGTAGGTAAGCACATGTGAATAGTGAAAGAGCTAAGTAGAAGTGGAGGAGACAATATAAGTGCAATTTGAAGGGCATACAATATATTAAAGGGACTCTCCAGTGCCAGGAAAACAATCCATTTTCTTGGCACTGCAGGTCCCCTCTCCCTCCCACCTCCCAATCCCTGGTTGCTGAAGGGGTCTTCAGTAACTTACCTTAGACCCACGCCAATGTCCCTCCTCTTCATTACGTCAGCCGGCGGGGGAGACTGATTCCGCCCGGTGGCCGCAGAGACCTAATGCGCATGCGCGGCAACGCGCTCTCAGACAACCACAAGGGAAACCACGACAGGGCACTGAGCAGGATGAGAACTGGGCCTAAATACCCCTCCTCTAGATCTGATAGGCTGTAACTGGCCTTTAATGCCAAAGGCAGTTACCAGGTTTCCATTTGCATAATTGCTGCTCAGCATTAACCCTTCTGTGGATTTGGTTGCTGCTCGGCACAACTTTTCCTGTGTGGACAGTAAATGCCATTAACCACATTTTTATAAGCAGATGAATACGTGACAGAGAGGAAGACTGGACTGCTAATAACCACTCAATTGCACCTATACATTGAATCACTTTCATGTGTTCCATCTTGCAGATACATTTTCTCTTGGGAAACAAGTACTATCAACTTGGCAGAGGGCCCTTTTGGGATTTCACTAAACTAATACGAGTGACCATATGCTATGCATCTTATTTTTTTGTGTGTAATTTGTAACTTTCACATTAATGGCATTGTCATAGTGCCAGGTAGGGAGAAATTCACATTTTGTAAATAATACACAGGATGAAATGTTGCATATTACCCACAGACCAGTGGTTGTCAATAACAACAAAACATAAAGGGTTTATGCTATACTTGGAAGACAGGGTATTTATTTGGAATGTGTTGAGAATATGAACTTGGGAACAATATCTATAAACAGCAATACAATAAATCTGTCAAGGGGTTGGAACAAGAATGAGCAGAGTGCAGGGGTGAGCTTAAACTTTCCTTTTGGTAGCAATGCTGGGACCCAGAGTTTGGTTCTGAGGGGGCACCAGTAGTCTCTTCCACTGCCCATGGTTGTGTCAGGAGACCTTTGGGTAGGTTGCCATAGGCATCCGGCTTGGGCCTGATACGAGGCATACCCAACCTGAAGTTAGAGGACTTATCAATTTCCCTGAAGGCATCTCCGAATATTTTATGGCATGCTACTCACTGAACTAATTTTGTCTAATGGTCATGATAGTCACCGCTTGTTCTATGAACATTCAAACAAATGCGGTAGGCTTTCTGCTAGAATGTTGAAGAAACGACAACTAAGGTTCCACATACACTGAATAAAACAAGGGGCAAACAATCACACACCCCACCTTTTCCTAAGGAATAGCCAGGGTTCTGACATGCTGGAGTTGATCATAAATTTTCAGCGTATGCCGATGATCTACTCTTCTATGTAGATATGTCTCCCAAACATCTTAAAGGAGTTTTGCATTCATGGTGAATTAAGCAACTTCAAACTTAATCTAGATAAGTCTGAGGCACTGAACTTCTTGATACCCACCTCAGAAGCAAAAACCTTTTCACACAATTCCCATTTCAATCTTGTCAGGAACACTTTAGGTACCTAGGAGTATATGTCCAAAGGATGTGAAAAACCACTACAGACACAACTTTCTTTTGATGCTAACTAGATTTCAGGAGGAGATGAATACCTGGTCAGTTCCACATTTCTAATGGTTTGGATGTATAAACTCTATTTTGATAAATCTTTTATCTAGACTGCTCTATCTGTTTCAAGCCATTCCAATCTCCATACCCCACGCGTTCTTCTCATCCCTCAACTCTGATTTAATTCTCTATGCATGGAAATGGAAGAGGCTAAAGCAATCTGGAGGTTTTGGTTTCCCATCTTTTCAAAACTATTACCAGGCAGCTCACCTCGCCTGTGTAGTAGAGTGGTATCACACGAAGACTCAATGTGTCTTTCTGACGCGTAAGTGAGAAGAAGGGCAAGGACTGTTTCCACCTGTGGTTTGGTTGGCAAATGGAGTAGCTGGGAACTTTATTAAAACACAATTTTTTATAGTAGCTAGGTTAAAAACTTTTTTTCATTTAATGCTCTCATCTAATTTTGGACCAATGCATCCAAATACAGGCAACCCAGCTTTTCCAGCAGGTAGTAATCAATGGGCCTTCAAGTTTTCAACACTTTCATAATGTCATGGATGGCCCTACAAAGACAACTCTTACCATTTGAAAAACTCTGCTACTGCGCTCACGGAACCACTGTATTGCAGCATTTACACATTGTACCAAGTGGTCCTTGCTGGAGCCCAGTGTGATCCGTTTAGGTTTAAGTCCTATTTGGAGTATGCTTGGAAACAATGTTTTATGGACCAAGACTAGACACAAATGCTGATACTGACAATCTCAATGCTCGAAGTATCAAGAAATTAACTGTAAAATAGTAACAAATTGGTACAACACTTTGCAAAAACTGCATAGATTCTTTCCAGGCGTAATGGGCCGATGCTGGAGATGCTGGGTGCTCTTCAGATCCTTACTGCACATCCTTTGGTAATGTTATGTCTCCTTTCTGGAGAAGGGCGTATGATATGCAAATGAGTAGAAGTAGGCAGTGGAATTCCACCCTGAAGATATGTGCCTGAGCTGTACTAAATTAACCATTTCTAAATATAAAAAAACACAATCTAAGCATCTGCTGACAGCAGCCAAATCATTGATCCCTGCCCTCTGGTTGCAACAGTGCAACAGGGCCCACCTTCCCACCAGAGCTGGCTGTGTCAAGTGGAGGAGATCTGCCAGATGGAAGAGTGCACAGTAGAGATGTCGCGAACTGCTCGCGAACTTCCCGCGAACGGCTCGCCACGGTTCGCCACGAACCGTTCGCGGCAAACTCTGGTCAGCTGACACATTCCGGCCAATCTCCAGCAGACCCTCCCTCCCAGACCCTCCCACCTCCTGGACAGCATCCATGTTGAGCATCCTTGTATCGTCTTATCACAGGACCACCAGATGTGTAGAGCTGTACCCGGCCGTCCCCCGCATCTCCAGCACGTATCCGGGACATCAGGTAGCATACGGTGTAGCCTGTATGGGGTCCGGTACCATCCGGTGAGCAGTTTGTAGTTCAACTCCTGCATTTTAGAGCACATGGAACTTTGATGCGTCAGTATGTATATTTTCTCCCATTCTGGGTCAGTGAGCGTGATTCCCGTGGCTTTCTCCCAGTGTGCAGCGTGTTTTGCCGGTTCTAGTGGGGTTGCTGCTATTAGCAGGGCATATAAGAGTGAGATCCCCCTAGGGGGATGTGTCCTATTTGTGCACAGTCCCTCAAACTCTGTCAGGGGTCTGTGGAAGAGGTGTTTCCCGTTTTGTGCTTTATAGTATGACTTGACTTGGAAATAGCGTAACCTATCTAAGGGAGTCGGGATCCTGTCCCCCATCAGGTCTGGTAGTTGTTTGAGATCGTCCCTTGAGCACCACTGCTGCACATAGGACCAGTCAGTGCCTCAGAACGCGAGAAGGTCCGCGTGTGCTAAGCGCCACTGGGGTCAGAGGCCCCGGTACAGTGGTGAGCATAAGTTTCATCCTTATCGCGCACCAGATCTTCAGGGTCGCACCTATGAACGGATGGTGCTCTTCTAATGTGTCCTTCCATCTGGGCTCTTTCCATGTGTATCCAGGTCTTGGTTGTCCTGGACACATGCCATTCCACTATGCGCTGTAGATGTGTGGCCCTGTGGTAATTCCGGACCGTGGGTAGTCCCACCCCTCCCTGTGCCTTCAGCCTATGGAGCAGTGTTTTCCTGATTCGAGATGATTGGTTTCACCAGATAAACCGCGAAATGTCGGCATCCAGTTGTTGGAAGAAGGACGTGGGCAGGCAAATTGGTATTGTTTGGAATAGGTAAAGTAGTCGAGGGAGGAGGTTCATCTTAATGGCGTTCATTCTGCCAAACCATGAGACACATAGGCTAGACCACCATAGCATATCCCTTTTTAGAGTCCGTAGGAGCGGAGCGAAATTGTGGATATTTAGCTGGGTGAGGTCCGCAGTTAACCAGATACCTAAGTATTTCAATTTGGTCTCACACCACATGAATGGGAACTGTGTTCGTAGGTGAGCGGTCTCCCCCTCACTCGCGAAGATGAGCAGAGCCTCCGACTTTTCTGTATTTAATTTCAGGTTCGCGATATGGCCGTAGTCCTTGAAAGCCTTTAATAGGTTTGGCAAGGATACCAGGGGGTTGCTGATGAAGAATAGCATGTCATCGGCGTAAGCAGCAATCTTATGGGTGGTTCCTTTCAGGGTAAACCCAGATATTCCCCTGTCCCGTCTGACCGCCCCCAGGAATGGTTCCAGGGAGAGGGCAAACAGAAGGGGGGAGAGTGGGCACCCCTGCCTTGTCCTGCTCCGGATCTGGAACGCTGGTGAGAGGGCTCCATTTATCCGAATCCTGGCATTCGGGATCGTATATAGCGACGACTATAGGCACCCCCGTCCCGGATGGAGTTGATACCTCTGAGGAGTCTTGGCAAAAGCACGTCCCCGAATTCCTTAATGTACCGGACCGGTAGGCCGTCTGGCCCTGGAGCCTTGTTCAGTTTAGCTGACTTCAGGGCTGCCTGTAATTCCTCTAGTGTGACTGGGGCCTCCAAGGTTTCCATGTCCTCCTGACTCAGGGTCTTAGTGACATGAGCTGTCCTCTCCTGCTCCCCGGCAGCTCGGTCTCCCTGTGGCAGATTATAGAGAGCCGAGTAGTATTTATGAAATTCCTCCGCGATTTTGTCTGGTAGTTGGGTCGCCGGTCCCTCTCGGGGCTTGATTTTGGTGATATGGCACATGTGTCTCTGTTTTTGCAGCATCCTGGCCAGCAGTCTGCCACATTTGTTTGAGTATTCATAGAAAAAACGCGTAGATTTGCGTATGGTGTGTTGTAATTTTATTACCCCTTATGTCCAGCAGGGCTTTGTAGATGTCATCTTCCTGCGTGGCTTTGTGCTTTCCCTCTAGTTCTTTGATTTTCTGGATCAAGCCAGACATCTGTTCCTTCCGTTCTCGTTTTCTCTGCGTGCATACCCTGATGAGATGTTCTCGTATGACGCATTTATGCGCCTCCTAGGTGGTTAGCGGTGGGGTTTCAGGTGTATCATTTTCTTCGAAACAGGTGGTAATTGTGGCGCGCAGGTCTGTTACTATGGGCAACTCCGTCAGGATGGATTCATTTATCCTCCAGTGGTGCTCTCGGGGTCTGAATAGGGGGGGATTTGATATGAGTTGAAACGGGTGCATGATCTGACCAGCCCATCGTTCGTGTATCCACCGATATGAGTAGGGGCAGGAATTCTTGGGCAAGGAGAATATAGTCCAGCCTACTGTATCTCTTATGGACCGAGGAGAAATAAGAGTAATCTCTATCGGCAGGGTGTAGCACCCTCCAACAGTCCATGAGGCCTGATCCCCTCAGTGCCTCCTTGATGTCTCGTAAACAATGGGTCGGTAGTGAGCTGGCACCTGTGGATGTGTCCAATTGAGGTTCCAGGGCCACGTTGAGGTCGCCAGCCACCACGAGCAGTCCTTCCCGGAACTGCTCGAGTTTATGCAGCGTGCTTCTCAGAAAGCGGTGTTGCCGTGTGTTGGGAGCGTAGATACATCCGAAAGTATACTTGGTGTCCGCTATTTAGCCTCTCAGAAACAGATAACGTCCCATGGGGTCTCCACAGACCTCCTCGCAGTTAACGGAACCGTGCTCGCAAACAGAACTGCGACCCCAGCTTTTTAAGCTGAGGGATGGTTGGCGAAGTACCCCACTGGGTATCTGGAGTCACGGAGCGCCGGGCCAACCGTTTCCCTAAAGTGCGTCTCCTGTAAGAATGCGATGGAGACCCAGGATGCCCATAGGGAGCGCAGGAGGTGAGATCTACATGGAGGTGAGACCATAGATGGAGGTGAGAGCATAGATGGAGCGGAGCAGGCAAGAACCCCAGGCCCCCCTCAGGCGGCGAGGCCGGGGCCCTCCAGGGTCAAAAGGGGGAGTGGGGAGCCCCCCAGAGGGAGCACGGGCAGGGACATGGGGGGCGGGGGAGGGATCCCCAGTGGCAGGGGCGGCAGGGATGCAGAGGCAACGGGGAGAGCCGTGCACCTAGATCAGGTTCTGCGTTCCCCCTGTGAGGGGGCCCCACTGGGTCCGGGGCGAGGCCAGCGGAAGCTGGACCCCATAGCTGGGGTATATGGTAACTTGGTACCTGTGGTCCGGTGTAGAGTGGTGCACCCCTTATCGGCGCTAACCCCACCTCCCAAACCAGGGCAATAAAGGTACCTGTCACTTGGGGTGCGCGCTGGCGTGCCCAGCACAGCGCGCCTGCCTAGTGCACTTGTTACTAATAACTCTACCAGCGTATGACTGTAAAGATAGAGTGGATAACTAAGGGTTTTGAGTGTGCGCCTCTCCGGCCGGCTTGGCTTGTGCTGCATTATAATGCCATGGTCATATACTCGCTAGTAGGGACATTACATGTCGTGGTGTATCAGTGTAGATGTGAGCGGTAAGCCCAAGCGGCGGGTGATCCGTCATCTGTGCTCGCATTGGGGTCTCTTTCATGGGTCTAAGCATGCCAACAGCGGCGGTGGGTTTGTGCTTAATCTCTAAGTCCCTCGTTTGAGGTCCCGCCTGGGTGTCGATGTAGTCAGGGGCCCCCCTTCAGTCGGCAGTCAGGGTTCGGTCTTGTGAGTCCCGTCAAGCTGTGGTGTGGGTCGTCCCGTCTCCCCTCCCCCTTGTCATGCGTGGTTCCCCTTCTGTGATGCCTGTCAAATCCAGCTTGGGCCTCTTGTCTGCTCCTCCCTCCCTCCCTAGCAGTTGCATCCGTCCTCACCCCCCTGTCCCTCAACCAGGTAGAAACGCTTGTGTATGGAGCCGTGAGCCCCCCCTCCCCCTGCCCAGGCCTCACTATTTCCCTACCTGCTAGGGTGTGATCAATGCCCACCCCCGTGTCAGTGTACTGCCTGTCAGCCGCTTGTAGTGGGGTGTAGTGTAGGAGTGAGTCTGGTGTTGTGCCGCATATTGGCAGCAGGTCCCGGGCCGAAGCTTGATGCCCCCTCCACCGTGCTGGGGACCCAGCTGGCTGTTGTCTGGTGGTGCGCCTTCGTTCCATGCCAGGGGCCCTCCAGTCTCTAGACCCTCAGAGTTCCGCTGCCCCCCGTGCACCCTCCCAAAAGTAGGTAAACTTAAAGCCTGTACTACATCCCCCTGGCCGTATCCGTGGCTAGGCGTAGTGCCTGGTATCCCCTGATGCCCCCCACCCCAAAAACGTCCTCTGACCACCCATGTGTCCGCCCGTTCACCCCAGGAGTCCCCCCCTTTACAAGTCAACTCACCGTCCACCCGCCACTCAGTCAGCCCGCCCGACCTCCTATTCTTCCGGGCCTGCGTTGTGGGGCGTTCCTCTCCCGCTGCGCCCCCTCATGGAACACCGGGGTAGTGGGGGCTCTCCTCAGGGCAACTGCTTTTTCTATAATCCAATTTCTGACTCTGACTGCCGGTAAATGCAGGGCTCTCAGGAAACCCGGTATGTCCTCTGGCCAGCGTGCGGTCACCCATGAGTTTCCTTGCTTCACTTGGAGGCTAAAAGGGAATCCCCAACGATATGGGATCCTCTTGTCATGGAGTGCGCTTGTAACTGGGCTCAGGGCTCTTCTTGCATCTAGCGTTAGTGCAGACAAGTCCTGGTACAGGGATATGTCGGCTTCGCAAAACCTGATGGCGGGCTCCCCTCTCGCGGCTGCCATGATCTTCTCTTTCAGGCCTCAGTCGTGCAGGCAGCATATGACATCTCTTGGGCTGCCATCCTGCAGCGTGGGGCCCAGTGCTCTGTGCGCCATCTAAAAGCGAATGGCATCTGGTGCTTCGGCTCCTAGGATGTGCTGGAACAGCGCTTCCAACGTGCTGGTGAGCGGGGCAGCGTCAGTTTCAGGCAGACCGCGCACCAGTATGTTGCTGCGTCTGCTTCTATTCTCTAGGTCTTCTACTTGCCTTCGTTTGGTGAGCAATAGGTTGCCCTGCCTGGTGACCGCCATTTCTGTAGCCTGGTGTTGCTGGGCACAATCTTGGGCCGTGGCCTCTACTTCCTCCACCCTGCCCTCCAGCGCGGTCAGGTCAGTGCGCAGGCCTGCCAGTTCTTCCCATAGTGCCCCCCTGAGTTCCTGCACCATTTGGTTAGTGTCCGCTTTGGTGAGCATCCTGGACGAGATTTGAGTTAGCTCAGCTCGTATCAGCGTCAGTTCCCCTGCCGGGTCTCCCTCCACCTGGGATCCACCCGCGCTTTCCTCCTCCGGTGCCATCTTGTCTGCGGGCCGCATGTCACGTCCGTCGGGTTGCAAGGGAAAATACCCGTCCATCGGGCCCATGTGGCGGCGGGGGGAGCCCGTCGCTGCAGTCCCTGGGATTGACTGCTTCTTATTGTGGACCATTTGCAGCGGTAGGTGAGCGGTAATGCGATATTATGGCTTATGGTCGTCGGCAGGGGACACAGAGCTCAGTGTCTAAGCGTCCTGCTCCATGCTCGTCCAGGCCACGCCCCCCGATTATAACACTGTTATGTCAGTATGTTTTATTCAGAAGTTATTGTATGTGACACGAAACTTTTAACAAAAACTTTAAATAAATAGTGTAAAAAAAAGAATGAGCAGAATGAAGGGTCAGATTCAGGTGTGCAAATGGAGATGAGGTCAGAGAAAAGGAGTTGAGAGAGAAATACATTATGCATTGGAGGAAAAATGTATGTTTTTAAATTGAGATTGTCTTTGGCTTCTAGTATTATCTTCTGCTTCCAACGGTTTTGTTTTAGAAAAGCTCTATTTTGTTTTGAGGGTATAGCTATAAAATGTATAGTTTATACTATTATACATATTTGTGAAAACCCAGCACAGAAAGGCTGAGAAATTAATTGAAAGCACAGTCATTTTATTTGTCACGTTGCGGATAGACATGTTAATAAGCATTAATGAAGTCAAAGTGTTACAAATCCATAGAGCTATGACTGTTCTCCACATGACATTCCCTTGTTCATTACATTGCAAGGACTCTTAGTATTGATTAATGTCGCTGCAACTTGATGTCCGTATTAGATTCAGAAAATCAAAACATGTAATGACGCTCTTGTTAACCCTTAAACCTTTATCAGCGATGATACAAGGTTTTTATAAGGTTTCATAAATAAAAGAGAGTTTTTGTAAAGTACAACATTTCACATAAGGTAAAAACCTAAATACATAACAACATGTTTGGAGTTTTGACTTTTTTGCATTTAAGACATTATTGTGATGTATCATTATAATCAAAACTAATTCTAAAAATACTATTAATTTCATTGAAATGCCAATAGCATCACATCAGGACAAACTGGGGTGATGGTGACAAAAAGGCCACAAGACTATGTAGAAAACAATGGGAGATCACAAGATCCGTTACTGTGCAGGGTTTAAGACAAGTGAGATTTTATGTCTCTGGATTAAGGACCTGTGAACAAGTAGTGTTATATGATTACTTCATTACTGTCCATTACTGTCCATTACTTTACAATATTTTTTTTGTATTGTTTGGTATAAGACCAGTGACATACACACTATCCATGGGGCCCAGTGCGAAAACTGATCCGTGGGCCCCCCCTCCCTCCAAAATAAGGTGCCGGGCACTCTGGAGTGACGGGCCCGGTTGCAGCTGCAACCCCTGTATGTACGTCACTGTACACACACACACATACAAACAAACACACATACATACAGACACATACATACACACACATACACACAGAGACACATATATTCATATACATATAAGCACACATACATACATACAAATGCACACACACACACAGATATATATACATACACACACACATACAAACATACACACACACAAACAGAGAAACATTCATACAGACACACAAACATACATACAAACAAACACACATAAACAAAATATTTTAGTCACCCTCCTGTTTCCTACCTTTTAAATGCAGGAGGGTGACTTCCCTGGGGTCCAGTGGTGGCTCAGCCTGATTCGGGTCAGAGTTCCCACTCTGACTCCCTCCTCTCTTCCTCCCGCGCGGCTCTGTCTGATAGCTGGGAGGAGTGACCGCGGCAGTCACTTCCTCCCAGCGTCTGACGTCATCTCAGGGGGCCCGCTTGTGCTGTTAAAACGCCGCAGCCCTGACCAGGCCCACTTGAAATCCATAGCCATTTGGTGGCCCCAACAGCATGGGCCACCCAATGGGCACCATCACGCAGGGTGGCCGGGCCCCCTGAAGTGAAGGGCCGGTCGCAGCTGCGACCCCTGTATGTACGCCACTGTATAAGGCATACCATTTTAAATATTTCTAATCATATACAAACTTACACTTGAAAAAATAGAACACAAACACAAAGACCACATTTTAAAAAGGTTTAGCTTTAAAATCCCAATTCTAATTTGCATGATATAATATATTCAAAAGTGGACATTTCATAATTTTAAGAAAAGTTAAACATAGGTACATAGTTACATAGCTGAAAAGTGACTTGCATCCATCAAGTTCAGCCTTCCTCACATTTGTTTTTTGCTGTTGATCCAAAAACAGCCTCTGGCTCAGATCACATCAGCTTGATTTATAGAATTTGAACATTGTAATGAAAACATGTTTAAGAAAATAAGTATTTACAGTACCACTCATGTCTTTGCATTTGTTGAATGAGATTTACCAAGAAGATTGTTGAGACAAATGCAATTAATATTGAGTGCCTCACCTTTTTCACTTAGTCTAGCTCAATATAGCAAAGCACACTGGTTCTTACTGCTTTCCTAAGATGGGTGATAAATAGATTGCTCTGATTGAGATCAATTTTAGGTAGAACCCAAATATCTCTGGTAGCAGAGGAGGGATAGCAACCTGCAATTTAAGGGTATGTATGAACAAATGGCTGTAAGGTGCGGATAGATGAAGTGTAACAATGGGCCCGAGTGGTGGCCAGCTTGTCAACTAGGGGCGCCCTCGGAGTGGTGCCCCATATTGCAGGTGCCTACTCTGCTGAAATTTAGTAGACTGAGAGGGTAGTGGATGCATGGAATAGCCTTCCAGCTGAAGTGGTAGAGGTTAACACAGTAAAGGAGTTTAAGCATGCGTGGGATAGGCATAAGGCTATCCTAACTATAAGATAAGGCTAGGGACTAATGAAAGTATTTAGAAAATTGGGCAGACTAGATGGGCCAAATGGTTCTTATCTGCCGTCACTATGTTTCTAGACCGGGTGGAAAGGAAGCAGGAAGCTGCCGGCAGTGATGGAGCGCAGTCTGTTCTTCCTGCTTCTCACTTCTCCCTTGCGTGTCCTTTGTGGTAATGCCAGGTGCTGGAATATGACATCATTGCAGCTCGGCATCACTAAACTGTGCACATGAAGGAGCAGTGAGGAGATCTCCAGAGAGATGATCCCCACTGGACTGTCAGTGAGTTTAACTGTCAGTGTGTGTGTGTCTGTCAGTGTGTGTTTCAAATAAGTGAGATTGTGTGTCTGTCAATTAGAGGGTGTGTTTGTCAGTATGTGACTGTCAGTAAGTGTGCCTGATTACAAAAATGTGTGTGGCATATTGATGGAGAGGTGGAGTTGTTGCCATAGAAACATGCTTGTCTGGACTGGACATTTGCCAAGTCCAGACATGCATGTTTCTATGGCAACAGTGAGCAAGGTGACCACACCCACCTGAGGTGCCAAATAAAATCTGCACCTAGGGGTCTGTGACCCTAGGATCGGCACTGGGCGGGAGGGGGACAGTCCGCACTGGATGGCATGCAGTAGGGTGGTGCCATTAGTGTTGCGATGGCCGCAGTTGGACAGTTGAGGACCTGGAGGCGTACAGAGGCCCGCAACACCACGTTCTGATGTGACGTTGAAGTGCTCCACCTTCGCAGAGTTTCAAGGAGTAACGGGAGGATCCGCTCTGGCACAGGGTGTGGACGGCACCATTGGGTGTATACCAGAGGCCGGAGTCAGATACTGGCGGCGGCAATGTGAGTGGAGTCGGCTTGTTGTAATAATGTTTTGTTTAGTACAGGGGAGTGCTGTGGTTTTGTAGGGGGTGGGGACCGAGGTTTAGTAGAGGGGGGCTAGGGTTTAGTAGAGGAGGGGCTAAGGTTTAGTAGAGGGGGAGCTGTTTTTTTTTACTGTACTTTTTTAAATAAACCTACAATTCTATGAAAAGTTTTCATTTTTTTTACAGCCCACATAAACTTAAACCTTGTTTATTTGGCCCATGTTAGTCTTTGAGTTTGACATGCTTGCTCTAGTGGATCTGTCATCATCAGGAGTCTTTGCATATTTTGCAAAGACCTCCTCCAGTGACTGCGCTGCATGGTGTCCAGTGGCCACAGGTTGCATGGAAAGGTGAGTTCTGTCTACCTGAAACTGTCTCTCTCGGCCCCTGTCTTAATCTACCAGGAGTCCACGTCAGTGCTGTACTCTTGTGTATGCACTAGTGACGGCTCTGGGAAATTAGAAACCTTGACGGTGGTAGCTCTGCCTTTTGTCAAGTGTAAGGGAATATATTAAGACAAAGTAGTTCCTACTTGATCTTAGTATATCATTTGATCATTAGACTTTATCTTAATGAAGTACACATTTTGGTAGGGAGGCAGAGGGTATAACAGAGCCTCTTTAGGAATGTTTATGCTTAGGGGAGACTTATGCTTAGGAACTTACTCATAGAAGTTACAGTCCACAGCATCTTGAAAGTAGGTAATCTTTAACTTTTAATCACCCTTAAACCTAATAATTCTAGAAGGCCAATGAAGACCTGACACTAAACATTTTCCCACACTCTTCTTTTTAAACTGTAAATGAGTACTCTAACGTTAGAAATAAAAACAAAAGCAAGTATCTCTAGCGTTAGAATATTCTCAGCTTTTTTTTTAAATTGATTGGCCCTCCTGGAAAAGATAAACAAATCAATATAACTCATAACCTATCCCATGCTGGTCTCTCCAGGAAGCCGCCCCACCCCAGACTGAGATCATCATTAGAAGTGATATCTACCAATCTCATGCATTTCCATAGAGAATAATTTGGAGGCTGCTTGTTTCTCCCATCAGCATGCCCTCAAAAAGATGTATAGACTATGTACCTACTGATATTGCTTCCAAAATTACGCATTGGGGGTTATGTCTAAAAAATGTTGTGTTGCAAAGTTCTAAAAATGGGGCAATTACCATGGAAACCAAAGGAACCAGCAGGCACATCCCATTTCCTTTTACATATTTGTACCACTTTTCAGAATACAACCCTATTTATACATAATATCATTGTTATCTTTCTTGAGTTCTGATACTTAATAATGCCGCATAATATTTGAATGGTATTGCTGAGCTACTAATGTTTCA